ACAGAACATGAGTCTCCCATTCCTGCCATCTTCGTTATCTGTAGCCACCATAGGTCAGCTCCTGGGTTTGTGCAGAGCCTGCTGTGATGTTGGTACAAGAGTGGAAATACTGGTGCTTCCCTTGATCGTGTTCCAGGGTGCTGGCGGAGCTCGCTAACTGTGTTTAGAATCCCTTTGGGTTCACATTACGTTATTTCTGGCTTGGCTGAAAGAACTTTATCCAGATCCAGTGCTGTTGGCTCATGTCAGACAGAACACAGTGTCTCGGTTCACCTTGCATCTGGAGGGAAAAGCTTGGGAAGTCATTGCTATGTCCCACCAGCGTGCAATGAGATTATGCCATCATTTCCATGTACTTGATGCCAGGGGTGTGAAAACATGAGATTTGAGGAGTTGGAGATGGTGATGTTAGAAGGGGGTGAGGTGGTTTTCAAGGTAGAACTGGGGGAAATGGGGAAAAGGTGTTTCTCAGCCCCTGCCAAGAGGAGCCTGAAGCAGGACTGGGAGCTGGTTCCCAGTTTAATTCTTTCTTTACAGTGTTGCCCTCTCTTGAATCACCATTTGAGTTGAAGTTCAGATATATATGTATAAAAACTTTGGGTTTGGGGTATCTTTCTGCAGCATATTCAAACCATTCTCCATTTTTCATTTTTGTTATATGTATGTGAACCTCTGCTCTGGAGACAGGCTAAGAGTGCAGGGGTTTTCAGCCTGAAGAAGGAAAGGCTCCAGGAGACCTTAGAGCAGCTCCAGTGCCTAAAGGGGCTGCAGGAAAGATGGAGAGGGGCTTGGGACAAGGGCCTGTAGGGACAGGCCAAGGGGAATGGCTTGAACCTGCCCGAGGGGAGACTGAGCTGAGCTCTTAGGCAGAAGCTCTTCCCTGTGAGGGTGCTGAGGCGCTGGCACAGGGTGCCCAGAGAAGCTGTGGCTGCCCCATCCCTGGCAGTGTTCAAGGCCGGGTTGGACACAGGGGCTTGGAGCAAGCTGCTCCAGTGGAAGGGGTCCCTGCCCGTGGCAGGGGTTGGAGCTGGAGGAGCTTTAAGCTCCCTTCCACCACAAACTAGGCTGGGATCCTATGATTAATGAATGAGTTGTGATGTAGATTACTGTTAGTTTCTAAGAACTCCAGAGAACCTCTCCCCACTCCTGCAGCAAGATGCTTCTCATACCCTGGGAAGCTGCAGGTTCGCAGCCCTGCACAGCACACACAGCACGTCTGCAGCTTTCTGAGCTTATTCCACTTTCACATCATCACGCTAAAAGCTCCTCTTTTTTTTCTCTCCCTCTTCTTTTCCTTCCCCCCCAGTGTATATGCTGTCGAGTTTGATTTATAGCCTTGAAAAGGAGACTCCAGTTTGAGGAATTAATGGTATTTGCATATTTTATTTGGAAACTCCCCTGGCAGACCCGCTGCAGCCCAGCGCCGCGGCGCAGGCGGGTTTTTCCTTTCTCTTCCCCCCCCCACTCCAGTCATTCACGTTTAGCAGCAGAGGTGAAAAGTTTAAACAGTAAAACCAATAAAACCACATTTATGTGACAGATAAATCGCTTCGAGACAGCTTGCTCTGAGCCATCGGGCTTCCTCCTTGCAAGACCTCTTCTCCTATGGTACCTGACCTGCGGCAGGGCCCTGGGAGTGCCAGCGATGCCCTGTGCCACACAGCAGCCAAGGGCAAAGGTGCTGGCCCCGGCTATCCTCAGACCTGCCTCGCCAGCAAGATGGATGTGAGCAAGCAGTTGTAAAATACACAGGCTATCCATCACTGTCATGAGCTGGCCGGGGGGAGTCTGGGTCTCCCAGTGCCTGGGGAAGGTCCAGCCCAGGTTGGGAGCACATTTAGGATGGGGCTTATTTAGAATCATAAGATCATTTAGGTTGGAAAAGACCTTTGAGGTCATCGAGCCCAGCTGTTGATCCAGCACTGCCAAGGCCACCACTAAACCATGTCACCAGGGGCCACATCTACACGTCTTTTAAATACCCCCAGGGCCGGTGCCTGCAGCCCTGCCCTGGGCAGCCTGTTCCAATGCCTGAGCACCCTCTGGGGCAGGAATTGTTCCTCAGCTCCATCTAAACCTGCCCTGGTGCAGCTTGAGGCCGGTTCCTCTTGTCCCCATCCCTTGTTCCTTGGGAGAAGAGCCCAGCCCCTCCTGGCTCCATCCTCCTGTCAGGCAGTTGGAGGCAGCCATCAGGTCCCCCCTGAGCCTTCTCTTCTCCAGACCGAACCTCCCAGGTCCCTCAGCCCTTCCCCATCACACTTGGGCTCCAGGCCCTGCACCAGCTCCGCTGCCCTTCTCTGGCCCCACTCCAGCCCCTCAATGTCTCTCTTGGAGTGAGAACCCTAGAGCTGAACCCAGGATTCGAGGTGCAGCCTCACCAGTGCCCAGCACAGGGGCACAATCCCTGCCCTGGCCCTGCTGCCGCACTGGTGCTGATACAGGCCAGGATGCTGGTGGCTTCTTGGCTTCCTGGGCACAAGCTGCTCATGTTCAGCTGGGTCTTGCCAACACCTCCATATCACTGGGTTTCTCTCAGATGTGGTTATTGTACTCTTGCAGCTAGGAATGCGTCTGGAGCTATGGGAATAGCTTGATGGATGAGAGTAAAATCGTAGAATCCCAGCCTGGTTTGTGTTGGAAGGGACCTTAAAGCTCCTCCAGCTCCAACCCCTGCCATGGGCAGGGACAACTTCCACTAGAGCAGCTTGCTCCAAGCCCCTGTGTCCAACCTGGCCTTGTACATGCCCGTGTGCAGAAGAGCTGCATTGCTTCAACCTGGCTGAGCTGAACTGAATTGGAGCTCAGCTGTAGGAAAGCTGTGGGATGGGGATGGCTGTTGGCCTAAGGACCATTCATTTTTCACCTTGCCCTGGTAGGAATGGTGAGCATTGGCTCAGGCTCCCAAGCTGGAGAGCAAGGGCTGAGCTGTGCATCTGAGTTCTTCTTAAACGGCTCCCTATGCTGCATTAGCCACACTCTTTCTGAAAGACATTCATGCGAGGTTTCTCTAGGCCCTTTCCTTATCCATCTGCTGAGCCTTCCCCAAGCCAGTGCTGTCCCCTTCATCTTCCTTTATGACACCTCCCAATGCTTTTAATTCCACCTCCTCCTAACCTACTTCTAATCTTCCCCTTTTCATTTGCTTCTTCCGTAGTCCCTTATTCCTGGGGCTTTATTTCTACTCCCTATGAATGGCTACCTGGCCCTTCCATGGCCCGGCCATGCACTTTCTGTGCAGTAACTCGTGCTGCTTTGTTTATGGGTTGCTAGAGGCACGTTCATCCCTCCAGGGCCACCAGCAAAAGGACTTTGGTGTGTTGGGCGGGGATCTGCTTTAGCCTGTTCAGCCATGCAACTTGCCCCAGCAGCCAGCAAAGCCCTATAGAAGAGTTTGGGCCCCGCTGTGCTGTCTGAAAAGAGCCTGTGAAATCATATTTAAGGTTGTCTCTTGAAGGTGCCCATTGGAAAAACCTCCCGCCAATGATGTTCAGCTCGGGTTTGTAGTTAACACAATGGACCCGCCATACAAAGCCGCTCGGGACCGCAGGCTGGAAAAGCCCTCTTAGGTCCCGGCTAATCCGTCCCCCCCGCCAGCCCATGGGATTGTTCCTGACAGCTTCTTTTCTTTGCCCTGACCTACATAGTCAAAAAGAATCTTGTTGCACATTTTTGTTTTGTACCTTGAGGTCTTGGAGGAGCTAAATCCCCTTCTTGGCGGGGCAGGATGTGTTGTTAAACAGTGCTGGAGCTTCCAGGAAAACCATGGAGACGCGGGTACAATGAGCCCTCTATGGTCCCCGCTTGGCTGCGGGATGGTCCTTCTCTGGGCTTCAGTGGTGGGTGCTGGGAGCGATGAAGATGTCCACATGCTTGGCAGCCTGTCCTGCAATAGAGTGGTCACAGCAGCTCTCCAAGGCAGAAGGTTGGAGCAGGGGGGGAATGCAGACGCTCTTAATTAACCTGTTTTAGATGATGGAGAAGAAGGCTGCATCCCATGCATCTTCAGCTGTGCTCTCAGGGGCAATGGAGAGGCAAGTCCTCTTAGGGGTAAAGAGGTCCTCGTGTGGGAAAGACATAGAATCATAGAACAGTTTTGGCTGTAAAGGACCTTCAAAGGTCATTTAGTGCAACCCCCTGCAGTGAGCAGGGACATCTTCAACTAGATTGTGAGAGCTCCTGTTTGGGGTTTAAGGGAAACAAAGATGCAAAAGGTGGGGTGGAAGAGGGCATACAGGAAGCCTGGGCTGTAGCTTGTTCGTCCCTCAACTGGATTAGCTGAGAGTGATGGGGAACTCATGGTGTCCTTTGTGGAGGTGAAAGACTTCAGGTGTGGAGCAAGGGCTGTGATGGAGGGCTGAACTAATCCTTCCCCTACTGCCAGGGGCTGGTGGTTTCTCTTACAAACGTCTGGAAACCACCTGGGATTCCTGGTCTCTGGTAGCTGTGTTCACCCAATAAACCACTGAGCTCCTGAATGGGTCCCAAACCTCCCTAGGGAGGTGTCATCATTGTTAGAGATGCTTACAAAGCACTTGAAAGCTGTTGAAGTGGACCAAGCCTGGTGAGAAATCCTTGTGGCATGGTTCAAATGGTGCTGGAGGCCATTTGGGGCCAGAAGAAATTTGCAGTGACTTTAACCCCAAAGCTGCCATCCTTCTGTAGCCGAGAGCATCAGGATGTCTTTGCTACCCATCTCCTTGGAGTATCTTGGTCCTCCCATCCTCTGTACTGATAGTTCACCCCAAAAACAGTGATAAAATAGCAGGAGTGAACTATAGCTAAATTAATACAGCCATACATAAATTGACATTAAATTGTGATAAATTAATGATTGAATATGTTAAGAGATAGATATTAGCAGATAGTATTAAATGAATTAATAAAGACTAAAACCCATTTGCTGTGGTTAATTCATCCTGTCCAGGGTCAGCTTTCAGATCAACCATCCGCTCTTTGACCAGCTTTATAAATCTTCTATCTGTGTGTTTTTTGTGCTCCAGCTCTTAGATCTGTTCATCCAGTGGGACTGGTCGACGTATTTGGCTGACTATGGGCAACCCACATGCAAGTATCTTCGTGTGAACCCAACGACAGCCCTTGTCCTGCTGGAAAAGTGAGTGCGGGTCTGGATAACTGGGATAATCTTAGCCCCATCTTGCTTTGAGTGAGCGTGGATTTTAGCAGCGCATTCCATCGTGGTGCTGCAGGGAGCAAAGATTTCACCTCTGGGTGTGCAGCGGGAACTCAAATAGAAACACGCTGTTTTATCCCTCTAAGCAGAATTCCAGGGTTTGTATTGAAATGCATTGACTTGCTGAGGGTCTGACTTTCTGTGAGGTGGTTTGTGCCACTCCTGTGACCCACCAGCAAGGAGGGAGAGTCCGTGAGTTCGCTGCAGACCCTAAGAGTAGGATCTGTTCCAGGATTGTTCAGCCTGGAGAAGAGAAGGCTCCAGAGAAACCTTAGAGCAGCTCCAGTGCCTAAAGGGGATACAAGAAACTTGGAGAGGGGCTTTGGCCAAGGGCCTGTAGGGCCAGGCCAAGGGGAATGGCATGAACCTGCCTGAGGGGGGACTGAGCTGAGCTCTAGGCAGAAGCTCTTCCCTGTGAGGGTGCTGAGGCGCTGGCACAGGGTGCCCAGAGAAGCTGTGGCTGCCCCATCCCTGGCAGTGTTCAAGGCCAGGTTGGACACAGGGGCTTGGAGCAAGCTGCTCCAGTGGAAGGGGTCCCTGCCCGTGGCAGGGGTTGGAGCTGGATGGGATTTAAGCTCCCTTCAGCACAAACCATTTCATGACTGTATGATTTGCTTCACCCATAACCCCTCTAGCAGGTGGGAAGAGAGGTGCCACCAGTCAGCTGGTAGGAGGTAGCCCAGGTAACCCGTTCTTTGGTAGACTTTCAGGCTCTCATTGGGAGCACTGGCCTCCCTCGGAATGCTTCCAGGCTTTGGAGGTGCATCTGTAGTAGTTATGATCCATGTAACTGAACCACCTCCTCTTGCAGAGGTGAATAAGTAATTTCACATCAACTTATGACATCTAGATATTATCACTATGGTTACACAGGGACTGAACTTCAGTAGTTGCTGTGTGTAAAGCACTTTTATACATCATAATGTTGGTTTTATATATGTATTCATGTGTTGTGTAATAGCCTGTGTTATTCATAACATATTCATAACTCAACATCCATAATGCAAAAGCTTGAGATATACTCAGAGCTATAAATAAAATGGTAACATAAAAAGCTATCAAAAATCAGAGAACTTGGACATCAAGCATTTAGAAGAGCAAGGGAATGGGAAGCAGGCAGTGAGGTGGGATCTGTGGCAGTTTCTGGGATGGCACTAGGACAGCAGGAGGGCAGCTCCATGCTCCTGGCCATTTTCCCCAGGTATTACTCAAGCATGCAGCACCCATGCATTGGTGTTAAAAAGCCACAAACCCCAGCTTGGCTTGCCAGCCGTCTCCCCAAAAGGGATCTCATTTGAAGGTATCCCATTTGCTTCCCAGTGTTACCCACTAGGTTAGCACTTGCATCTCCTGCATCCTTGTGGCGTGGCATCACTGGCACAGCATCATCACCTGCATGCTCTGCCCTCTTCCTGCTTGGGCTTCAGGCCCTCTGGGGAGTCTTCTGTGCATCATCCACCAGCTCCAGCACCCCAGACACTGTGCATTGACCCAGCCATAGCTTCAGGCACATCCACTCCCCCATCCCTCTCCATAGCAGCCGAGCTTTGCCCACAAGGCGATGTGAAATGCTGATCCACTGGTTCACTTTGTAACCTGTTTTCATCATTATCTCTTTTCCTAATCACACATCTCCCATAGGATATCACGAGTGTAAGTATGCTGCTTGCTTGGGCTTTTACCCTCACCTTGCAGTGACTTTATTGTTTGATTTAAATGGAGCACTAAATGATCTAAATGCAAGCTGTCTTTGGAACGGTTCTCACCGGTAACTTTATCGTCTCAAATGCACTAATTAGAGCTAAAAGAGGAGCTTTTACTCCATTGCTTTTTTTCCCTTATAGATTAATTTAAACAAAGCTTGGCTTTATTGAAGGTGGTGTTCGTTGACAGGGGTGGGGACAGCACTGAGCTCCCTCTTTTACCCTTCTTATTAATCCTTATGCTAATGCATACAGACCACATTACAAACCCAGGCTTGGTTGTTCCAGGGCACTGCAGGGACATACTTAAAGAAATTAAAGTCTCAATTCTCCAAAGAGCTGCTCAAAAGCATTGCCACCCACTTTCAAACCTGGTAGTCTTGGTGTCTGGATGCACCACTTCATTAGGGACCAGGTGCTTCCTATAGCTAAATGCCTGGAAAGAAATAGGCTGGTGTTTCTGAAAACCTTTAACACCAACTACATTGCATTGGCTCAGTGTCATCTGCAGGGCTGTGATGGCAGGACCAGAACTGGTGTGGTCTCCTCAAGCAGATCTGCAAGCTCGGCTTTCCACAGGGATGCAGCAGCCCCCCATGCTGCCAGGTCCCTGGCATGGCACAGCCCGGATTCTGCAGGATTGTGTGTCCTGTAGGCGACTTAATTCATTAATAATACTTAATATCATAGTGCCCATACCTTCATGCACTGTCTGGAGATACCAGCAGCTCCTGTCCCTCCCAGACACTCATCTCCACTTTAACAGGCCCACCTATGTGAGTTTGTTACGGAATCAGTGCTCCAACCATAATGCTTTTTCATCCTGATCCAGCAGCTTTATCCATGCTGATCCTTTCTAATAATTCAAAGAAGGTTTTTTTTCATACAACACATGTTACTTCAAAAACATTTCATGGACCTGAACAGATCCCATGGGATCAGAGATGGCTCCGAGGATGCCCACGACGAGAGAAAGGGCTCTTAGGGCAGAGGATGCAGCGGGCAGTGATGGAGAGTGATGGGTACAGCACTGGGTGGAGGTTTCTGAAGGTACAGGTTTACTGTCAGCACCTCTGATGTCCCCATGTAGGCTGTGAAGTAGAAACAGAGCTCTCAGCCCTCCTGGTGAAGTGATTTGAGACCCGCTGGAGCTGTACAGCACTGCCCAGGGTGTCCCATGGGAGGATGGTTATGTCCAAAATTGAGGATACTGGGACACCTGTATCCTGTGAGACTCAAAGATGCTGCTTTCCATCGGAGCATCACTCACTGCTTCTTGCAGAGGAGCAGCTGGAAACCTGCGTTGCTTAAAAAAGTAGAGAAATTAAGAAAATAATATTTACTTTGGTGAATAAAGGTGCTCCAAGCTATCTTGTTACTGTTGGGAAGGCAGCTTGGTTGTAATCCTGTGTCTTTGGGCACTTACAACTTTAGCAAATTAGCCTTTCAGATAAAGTTGTTATCCTTGTTTCCAGTTCCAAGCTGGATGTTTTTGGGAACATTTCAGATTCCCTTTGGCCCTTTTTTATGAAGATTGAAGCATGAAGAAACTTAATTTGTTATTTTGTTTAAATTGGTTAAATAAGTTTCAAGAGGTTTGCTTTTGCTCCGTTAACTGAAAAAAACCCTGGTTTGATGAAGTGCCAACTTCCCAGGACTATCAGCGCCGTGTCCCAGTCACTTTAATGCTTCATTTAGATCCCCAAAGCTGAAAACTCAGGCTGACATGACTCGTCCAAAGCCATCAGCTTCTGCCAGATCTGATTTACCAAGAAAATCATTTACAAATTAGGGTATTATACAAGAGCAGTGCCGGCTGGGAACCAGCAGGTTGGATATTAGGAGCCCAATACCTTTAACTGTTGAAGGATCAACCATTGTGGGGTGATTTCCCTTCGCAGCTCATGCCCTGTCTGCATAAAGCTCACGCTTGGAGCGTGCACTGAGACCTGCCCCCCCAAATATGCATCTGTGAAGACAAGCATGCATGAACCCCCAGCTTTGCATGGCAGAGGGAGATGGAGCTGAACCAGCTTCATCTTCAGGTCCCATCCTACAACCTGCTCTTCTTCTCTCTGGCTTTTTGGAGGCCTTGTGGAGAGCAGGGCGCTGATTCATGTATTAAATGTCCTATCCCTGGCAGTGTTCAAGGCGAGGTTGGATGGGGCTTGGAGCAAGCTGCTCTAGTGGAAGGTGTCCCTGCCCGTGGCAGGGGTTGGAAGTGGATGAGCTTTAAGGTCTCTTCCAATCCAAACCATTCTGTGATTCTATGATTCTGTGAAATGTAATCTAAAAAATACAATCTCAAGAAGATTTTTAAATTCAGGAAACCTGTGCTGGATCCCTTCCTTTAAAATAAATCATATTCTGTAACACTGTGTAATATTTTCAGTTCACAACTCCAAACCTTTCCAGCTGTCCCAAAAGCTGCATCTCCTGGCTGCATGCAATGCATCATGTCAAATAAGAAGCCTTAATGCTGTGGATCCAATGCTAATTTTTTTAATTTCCCATAATTTTGTAGGGTTATCGTGTACCACTTCAGATGGTGACATGGGGATCTAGCAGACAGAGATACAGGGGAGTCACTGAGGTGCTGGAGAGGGGCCAGAGAAGGGCACTGGAGCTGGTGCAGGACCTGGAGCCCAAGTGTGATGGGGAAGGGCTGAGGGAGCTGGGGGGTTCAGTCTGGAGAAGAGAGGGCTCAGGGGGGACCTGATGGCTGCCTCCAACTGCCTGACAGGAGGATGGAGCCAGGAGGGGCTGGGCTCTGCTCCCAAGGAACAAGGGATGGGACAAGAGGAACCGGCCTCAAGCTGCACCAGGGCAGGTTTAGATGGAGCTGAGGAGCAATTCCTGCCCCAGAGGGTGCTCAGGCATTGGAACAGGCTGCCCAGGGCAGGGCTGCAGGCACCGTCCCTAGAGGTATTTAAAAGACGTGTAGATGTGGCCCCTAGTGACATGGTTTAGTGGTGTCCTTGGCAGTGATGGGTTAATGGTTGGACTTGATCTTAAAGGTCTTTTCCAACCTGGTTGATTCCATGATTCTGTGAAAGACTGGAAGGGGAGGACAAGAGGCTTTAGGATCTCATGAATTTTATCGTTAGAAGTAGACCCAGTGGTGACATTGGTAGGGATTTGTGGGGTTTAAAGCATAAATACAAAGCCTGCACATGGCTTGGTATGCCCATGTTTATATGAATACATGAGAAAAGTTGG